TTAGGCTGATTTATATAAATAAAATATTTCTAAACCTAACTTTTGTTTGTTTGCCCATTTTTGAGACAGGGTCTCACTGGGTAGTCAAGGCACACCTTGGACTCATTATGTAGCTCCGTCTGGCCTCAAACTCAAGGCACTTCTCCTGCCTCAGCCTCCAAAGTACAGGGATTACAGGCGTGCACCACCAAGCCCAGCAACCTGTTTTTTAACCTTCATATCCACTTATCATTTGTAAAATGTTTAAGAACAGCCCTTTTGATAATAGCCCTCTAAGAAATTCTAACAGAAAATTCCTCAGAACATAATACAACAAAAAAAAGGCAAACAAAAATTTATTCCAGCTAAAATATTTATTTGAAAAATATGTGGTGGATTAGTATAATTTTATGTAAATATATCTGGATAATTTGAATTTTAAATACCTTAATATTTTATTTATACAATAGGCAGATTTCTGAATACTTGATCCTCACAAAGCCTTGTGGTTTGATACCATTATTTATTGATCTCATACTGCTGATTAGGGAACTGTGACAGAAAAAGATAATACCTTTACCCAAAGTCATACTATTTGTGAACAGTAGCACTGCCAATCTATCCCCAGTTCCCCTTTACTTAGACACTGTACCAGGGTGCCACTTGCTACTCTGTGAAGCAATCTGCATTATTAACTCATGCATGTGTCTTGGGCAAATGGTAAAGCCAGTATTTTATCCAGATTGAATATAATTCAGATTCAGCGTTCTTTCCATCATATTATTTTGTTTCATTATCATATTTAAATCACATTTTTAAGATCTGGTGGATGCCCTTCTACACTATGACTTTCTTCAGCTGCCATTAACAGAAAGTTTTGGTGTGAGGCAGATTCAGTCCAACACAGACAACAGAGAAAGCACTAGAATGGGAATTCTAACCACCAGTTCACCAGCTACAGCATCAGCTACTAGGGTTTGCTGGACAATGATGATTGCTATGGGTGACCCTCCCTTGTGTGTTGTGCTCTTCATTTTACAAATGATAAGTGGATGTGAAGGTTCAAAAATATGTTGCTGAGCAGGGTGGCAGACATCTGTAGTCCCAGTACTCGGGCGGCTGAGGTATGAGGTATGGTTCATGGAATAGGCATTAGATCAGGAAGAGAGCCAGTGTCTAGTCACAGAGAACCCTATAGATGTGCCAGGCGACAAGCTGAGCACATCATCTTTGCTCTATATACTGAGCTTCCTTGGACCCCTCAAAACTATCCCATGAATAAGCATGGCACCCAGTTTGTAGATGAGGGGCTGAGAATCAGAGCATTAAGCAAGTCAGTCAAGATCCTAAGTGATTTTCAGGCCAAATCTGTCTAACTCCAAAATCTTTATGTATATACTCTTCCAAGTTGACTCTAAAGCCGCTTTAATCTTCTGAATCTCAGACTCTTCAAATATAAAGAACCATGCCTCACTAGGAATTATTTGAAGATGCCTAAGAAGTCACTTTGGCAGGAAGTCCAAGGAGACTGGGGTCTAAATTACTGCCCATCCCTGATATGCATGCAGGCACATGCACATCACACACACACACACACACACACACACACACACACACACACCATTCAAACAGCACACATGACTTGATTTATAAATTTGGCTTTCCAGATTTAGATTGAAGGGAAGATTTTTTGTTAAAAAAAAGTTTGGGGATCACTCTTACAATTGAGTTTTGAGGCTCCTTGAACTTTAATGTCTAATATAGGGTCCAAGCTGTAAAGATATAATAACTTTGGCAAGTCATGCCAGTCAAAGACTTTTGATTCACTTGGCTGATTCTAGCCAGATAACACTTGACACCTCTAACAGCCTGAACAGCTACTAATCTAAACACAATTTGAGAAACTATTTGATGGCTTCAGCCAACATGGCCTTCTCACCCAGAGCCCGTGAGATACACATGATGGTTTTTCTCCTTGTGATCATTGTCATTCCTTGAGGGTTTCAATTATTCAAGGGTGGAAAAGTTGAAGTGTTTGTGTTTTAATATTGACCCATTATTTTTCTCTTTTTTTCTCTTCATGTTCTTTTTAGTCTATTTGCAATCCTGTTTCCCTCCTCTGGGTCTAGATTCAGCTGGTAGACAAGTAAAGGCTGATATGCATTGGTAAGAAATGAGTGAATTCACTTAATCCTTCAAGCCCTGCCTTTCCCCCTCCCATATTCCTACAAGAAGAAAAGACAGACAATAGATACAGGGCCTGCATCTTGATGAATGTATGGAAAGCCAAGTTTTATTTTTCTTTCATTCCTGTTACACATAAACTGTCATTACAAGCTACATCTGTAGAAAAGAATAAAGCTAATAAAAGATGGAATTGATTGTGATGGTGATAACAACTTTTTAAAAAAAAAGTACTGAGGTATTCATTACATGTAAAATTGACTCAGTTTAGTGAGCAATGTAATGATTTTTACTAAATACACAGAGTGGTACAACCATCACCTCAGTCCAATTCAGTAATATTTCCATCACTCCAAAAAGATTCCCTGAATGTATTTTCAGTCACTACCTATTCCCACTTCCAATCCCAGGGAATCACTAATCTACTTTTTATCTATATGGATTTGGTTTTTTTCTGGGCATTTCATATAAATAGAACCATATAATAAATGACATCTTGTGACTGGCTTCTTTCAGTTAGCCTACTCTTTTTAAGGTCTACCTATATAGTAACATTATTAATACTTTGTTTCTTTTTACATAACACCTTTTTGAATGGCAGAATTACTTAGAGAAAAGAGAACTGATTTCAGAAGCATAGAAACATGAAGTTGCATGAAAGCTGTGATACCTCCTAGCTGGGTCTTTGGACAAATTCTTCACTCTTTCTGAGACGTACTTATAGAATAAGGGTAAGAGTCTCTCCTTCAAATGACATTTATGCATTAGCTGGATTTTGTTAGCAGAGTGGGGACTCAAATCCATTCTTTCTCTCTACTTTTCCCAGAAACCTTTGTTTTTTTCACCACCTTTAAACTGTAAAGTGAATCTTTACACCCCAGTCTTCATATAAAGCTTGAAATGAGAATCCACATAGCAAGCAATATCAGAAAAGAAATTCGGCAAAGGGAATCACATCCTTCATTAATGGAGCCCAGATGGTGAGGAAGGAAAGGGATTCCTTCAATTACACCGCTGTCATTTTTAATAAAGAACATTAAACTTCATTTAATTTTTAGAGGTGGAAATGTGTCAAATTCTTTCTCAGACCATTTTATGGAGTTCTCCTTAACATTTGCTAGGATCTAAGGAACACCATAGGTTCCCATTAATTCCTATAAAACTGCTCCCATTAATATCAGCCTTCAGATAACAGGTAAGCAAGTAGCAAAGGGCTACAAATTCCCGAATAAATGGAGTCCACCTCTAACTTTCAAAACTCAACTTTTAGCCAATAGTTCCTGACCTGTTCTTCCTTAATCCTTGAAACAAACTGATTTCATATGATAGCAAAATAAACTGAACTTTCTCTTCATTTCCTTAGTCTACCTTCTCTGATTAGAATGTGTCCTCATTTTTAAATCAATTAAAGGGATCCACAATATAGCACCATTCTATAGTCTTGTACATAAATGTTACAGAGATGCTTTGCCAAATCCCTGAGCATAAAATTCCCTTTCTGAACTGATTTCCCCCTGGGTCATTGTTTCTCTATACTTTGTAATTCATCACTAATCCCCTGCATGTTTCTCATTATTTTTTCTCCACTTGTCTGGGATTTATCATAGCTGCATTTCTTGAAACACTTCCCCTTTACTTCTCAGATTCATTTCCTATTAAGTACAGTATAAAGGAAAAGGATAAAGGTTCTCAATTGTCCTACTAAAATAAGTTTGTAAACTTTTGTTTATCCTTCACTTTGAGGAAATTAGAAAGATGTATCTTTTCATGATATACAATGTCTGCTGTCAAATGTAAATTCATTAAGAGAGGCAACATATGGCCTTCTAATCTTTATATACCAGTAATAATCACTACACATATGTACTATTGATATTAAGGATGGCAAAGAAAGCTATTAGATATAATTCCTACAAGTGATCAATCTGCAACATTATCAAATGAATCTAATTTGATTTCTATTTTAATAAAGTTATATTCACACAGGTAAACAGATAAAGGCTGTCTTGTGACTGCACCAAGAACCTAACTGAATTTGTACAAGAACTCCTGTCTTTCCTTGTTATAAGTACCTAACTTTTAAAAAATCCTGGCTAACTATTCTCCTAATATTCAGTATATGAGATCCCAGTAGAGAAGTTTCTGCTCACTCTGTTATCACCTTACATAGACATAGGAATCTATAAATGTGATTGAAATGGATAAATATTAGGGAGGGACAAAAAGAGTTTAAGTTTACCTAGATTTGTGAATTTCCCCAACATATAAAAAAATTAACATGCTAAAAGTTTCCTTTTATATCACTACAATAAAAACAGTAACTTATGTCCTAGACTTCATTTTAGGGTTTATGAGTGGTATCATAGGAATTTAGCTCAAGGTATAAATAGTTTAATAAATTTGGAATTTAGCAAAGTTGTTTTCTCTATAGCACAGATCTTATATTTGGTAGCAGATGACAAAATAATCTTGAAGTACAATGACTTACCTTCTCTTTGATGCCCAAATATCCCTCTCAAATCTTAAACACTAAATTCCAGCTTGCAGGCAGCAAGTTATTTTACAGTTAAAGTTGAAAGTTAAAGTAAAAAAAAAAAATCACTTGAAACCTCTCTCTCTCTCCCTCTCTCTCTCTCTCTCTCTCACTCTCATGTGTGTGTGTGTGTGTGTGTGTGTGTGTGTGTGTGTGTGTGTCCCTGGAGAATCCTAAGCTCAGGGTCCTTGGCTAAAATCCCCAATTTACAGGCATCATCTCTGAGGCCTTGGTCACCGTAATATTCTGTCAAACATCTAAGCATCATGTACAAAAATTACCAAATAAAGCCAAAGCCTCCTACCCTGAGATGGCAGCCAGTTTTTGATGTGCCTGACGGGCCATTTCACAGCCTTTGGTTCTTGTCTTGTGCATTTCTGCCCGGAGTGAGGGACAGCTGACAGAGACGTCCCCAATAGAAATGACCAATTCTCGGTACAGGGCCACTTGTGTGTTGAACTCTTGGACGAGCTGGAAAAGAAGCCAATTTCTTCCATCACACACTTTTATCATCACAAAGTTTCCTGTTCCGATGTCCATAAATAGTCTCACTGACTTCTGAGCCAGAACCCCTAATCTCCAGGTTTAGAAATCTTTGAGTTGTTCAAAGCTAAAGGCACAAAGCAAATGTCTGTTTTTCCACCAGCACGCCTGGCCCTTTGCAGACCTGCTTGCCCCCAACCGTCCAGACTGTTTCTGAAGAGCAGGCGCATATTTGAACAGCTACCCTGTCACTCCCAGTTCACTAGATCAAGATGCTGGGGTCATTTCCCCCTGCTGCTGCGCGGACATGGGTTTGAAGTGGCACTGGGAAAAACGACCAAGAGTAGGGTGTAATAGGCAAACTGTTCTCCTCTGGCTGGGCCCCTGAACACCCTGGCTCTGAGCCTGACTGGCAGAGTAGCCACAGCCTCTGCGCCGGAAGCTTCTTCATTCCCTCTGCAGCGCCCCGGGCGCTCTCTTTGGGGTTGTTTGCCACTGTCTCCCCACAAAGCAGCACCTCCACCTCCCCACATCTTCCGAGCCAGTTCACCCTATCTTTTCCCTCCACTGTTTTTCTAGGGGACAGAAACACAACCTGTGCAGCCTCTGACCCCCGCGACTCTGGCCGTGACACTTTTCTCCATAGGGCCATTACGATCCGGGTGTCGCCCCGAATCGGGGGACTGCAGATTTAAAAATAGTACGCTTTCACGTGATGCGCATGGAGGAGCTGAGGGTGGGAAGTGTCTGGCACCCAACCAAATGATTACCATACAAGACTCCCCCACCCCCTCTAAAAAAAAAAAGGCACAGATTTCACCCACCATCTTGCAGTCGTCCAGGGTTCTTTGGGTTTTGTGGGCGCTGTCGGAGCCGCTGCCCCTGCGCTCCCAATCCCCGCTTTGCAGCGGGGGCTTGCTGATCTGGAAGATCGAGGAGCGGGTGGACCGGCTGGGGCGCTTTTTGCGCCCATTCGGTGCAGAACTCATGCATACACATCCACCAAGCCGAAGCCGCTGGTGCAGTGCGCCCCTGCGCGGGCGGCCCGGTGGTTGACCTGCACGCCGCGGCCAAGCAGCCGGAGCCAGGACCCGAGGCGCGCCGCTCACAGGGTTGAGGCTAGCTGCGCGGGTGGGTAACCTTCAGCTTGAAGGAGAGCCGCGAAAGCGCTGGCTGTGCCGTGCAGCATCGCTTCCACTAGCAGAGAGGAAGGGGTGCGATCAAGTTCTGCTCAGCAGCATTGCCGGCCCTGTCCCGGGAGCTGGGCGCAGGCGAGGACTCGCACCACCTTCGCCTCAGCATGGATCTCTCTGCTGAGCGAGAAGGAACGCGTTTCCCGGTGGTGCCGAGTTTCCATTCAGAAGGGGGAGCAGCTTTCAAAGACTGCTCTGCAAGGTGGGGAGGCGGGAGGGGGTGTCTCTCTCGCTTCAGTGTCTTCCCGAAGCGGCGCTCAGTTCATCTTTCCTCTCTCTCCACGGTCGCCAGGCCTGAAAGGGCTGGCCGTCCCCGCAGCAGGCAATTGGCTCTAATCTGTTGCCTTGATCCCTTGTCTCTAAGGGCTCGTTGTTTAAGGATCCCAAAAGAATCCGTGGCGGGACTGGCAGACGCAGGAAATCGGTCCGGCTGACGTTGGTCGCGGCCCCGCACATTGATAGGACAAGAATACTAATGTGATCCGTTCACACAGACCCCTTCCCCCACCACAGTTTATGCACTTATCCAATCAAATTCCCGGGAACATCAATTGCAATATTACTTCATCTGCTCTATTATTAGAAACGAAAAGTGTCATCAGAGTGGAGCACATTGCCACATGCTGAGATGTAAACATGAATTTCAAATAAACCAATGTGGATGTGAGGCCCTCAACATCTGAGACCAGGTGACTGTCTGGGGCCAGAAAGAAGTGAGGTTTTTACTTCAAAAGGAAGATCTCCTCATCAAAACAAAACAAAACAAAAAAAACAACTTTGCTTCTATGAGTTTTGTTTTTGTTTTGTCTTTCTGCACAGGAAGGGAATAAGGCCAAACGCATGGAGACTTTGTTCAAATTAGTCCTCATCCCCATCCTATTGCAACTAAGTAAAGCTATTGACCTTGGACTGCAGTCTCAAGATCCAGCTCCAAGAATTTTTCCCGAGGAGACTTGAAAAAGAAGGAGGCAGTAGACATTCGTGGACACTCAAGGTGACCCTTTCTCCTAGGACAGCCGTGACACAGAGGCTGAGAGAAGTGGCTCTGGAAAGAGGGCTGGACGCCTGCATGAAGAGAGTAGAGTGAGAGTGAGGCCCTCAGTTTCTTAAGCTCACCCTTCCCATTGACTTCCTCAGATCCTCTGGGAGGCAGAGGAAGTGATATGGACATTGAACTCTAAGCCCTGAGAATGCTTGTTCCCATGAATGGTTTGGAAGGGAGAAGTTAAAAGCATTAGCCACAGATCAACTACTTATGCTGAAAAGCCTATCAAAAATAAATCAGAAGTTTCTAGGGATGTGGAAAATCCACAGAGAGCCGGAAATAGACAGGCAGGTTAGCATCCGTGGTTCTAGAAGTTTTTGTTTTTAGAGGACAGGTGATGTCGCATAAAAGAGATATTTGGCCACTGCCCTTGGTTCCTGGCACAGACTAAAACAGCAGGAAATTACCTCAACAATAAAGGTGAGAGGAGCATTTGTTGCCAGAAAGACCAAAGAAAAGCTTTCACAATAAACTGATAACAGTAAGTAAAGTGCTTCTTGAGTCTTGATGAGTCATTCCAGCAAATTTAGGAACCTGGCAGGAAGGTTTATAAAAATTCCTGAATTGGTAGCCAAGTTGGACAGAGGAAGCGGTAACTGGGGGACCTAACAGGGCTGTCTGAAGGGAGGGCACAAAACTGATTGAATCCGAGGCTAACCCTGAGTTGTTAGTGACAGAAATGAGCTGAATTATAGGACACTTTGTTGGTGTCAGAGTAAGGTTGGGAAAGAGTAATGGTTGGGGGTGAAAAACAAAACTTAACAAGCAGATATATTCAGCTAAATTTGCACATTACTTCGCAAAAGATAGTTAGTTTTCTGTACCAGTCAGTAGGGGAAAGAGGTAAGTCTCCACACTCAGCCTCCTTCCTCCTTTGTATACTGCCACACTTTAGGTCTTTAGATGACCCAGAGACCAGTGTGAAAAGGCTCACCTGTTGGCTTCTTCTCCCCAAATATAGAAAGGCAAAGAAGTTAACAGTTAGCCAGCTCCCTGACTGTTCCCCTTTGTCTCTGGCTCAATTTATTCTCTCCTTCACAGTGTAAAGAAAGGGGTTGCTGAGGGACAAATACGTCAGATGCCTGGGATTTGGTGGGGATGTGGAGATGGTGAGGAGAAAGGCAACTGAGGGACTAAGGGGTTCTAAAGAGACATGTATGACAACTCATTTGTAAATTTTTAAAGTCCCATGTTATAAACTTCTTTCATTATAATTAACAGATCCCTACAGTGCTCCACTCAAGAGAATCTGCTCTAGCACGTAGTTGAGGGGCTTTATATATGTGGACATACAATAGAGTGCGTAGTCTCCTGGAAATCTTTTGCTACTATCTGTTTTTTCACCTTCTTTCTCTGCAAGAAAATAGTGACTTCTACTAGATTTGAGCATCTCAAAATTCCTCATACTAGAGTTTTACTCCAGCTATAACCATCTATCTGTTTTCTACCCCACCCACTTTTGCCTAGAAACAATTTCAACTAATTTAAAGAAAAGAAAAAAAACCCCACAATTGCACTGCCCTGTTTCCATGACACATTTCTTGCAGGAGGTGGGAGTCAGGAGGAGGAATGAAGTATAAATGGGCCAAGGGTAGTGGCACATTGGAAGTACTGCAAATGTGGACACCTACTGGGGGATTAAACAGAAATTATCATTTGCAAGTGCCCCTTGGCCTTCCTGATATTGACCAAACCATTTTCCTGAGAAGGGAGAAAAGTAGCATCAATTCCATTGCTGTCTCTCCCAGCAACAAATGCTGTAATCAGAACAGCAGAAGGCAGGCTGAGCTCCTTCACCTTCCCCCACAGTCAAAATGGCAGGAATTTGCATTCCCGGGGCTGCCTGACTGCCAAGTAGAAGGGTAAAGTGGAGTTGGAAATTTCAATAGCAAGGGCATATTTCTAGTTACTCAGACCCAATTTTGGTACATCTCAGATATAGGCTTTGAATAGGGTCATATCCTAGATTCACCCCAGTATAAGATACATTTTCTAGTTCATGTTCTTTCTGACAGTTTAAGAGAATTCACTTTGATCTCCGATCTGAAAGAGAGGGAGAGGGAGAGGGAGAGCAAGAGAGGGGGTAATATATCAATTTAGAGTGGTGCCTCTGTTCACGGATTTGATTCTTTCTACAATTCTGGTTGCAAACTGAATTGGACAAGAACAGAATCAAATTTCCCCATAAAGTCAACACTGAATGTAACCACTGGATTTGATTCGGTTCTCATCCAGTTTGGTTTCCATCCAGAATTGTAGAAAAAATTAAATTTGTGAACCTAGCTACCATTGTATTTCTTCAAATTGGCGCTATAAGAAACAATTAGGACTCAGAATTGAACACCAAACTAGTCTGGCCTCCCACAGAAGGAGACCCTGGGATCAGGTTTCATTTGGAAGTATAGTTCAGTAGGTAATAAAATGAAAAATGGCTATATATGAGTGGATTTGTGACAGTGGCAGATTAAAAATGCACTAAGATGCTGAGTTCTACAAACTGGGTTGATCTGAAGGGGAGTGATCAATTTCTGTTGGCACCAAAGTAAGATATTAAGTTATTGTGAAGAATTAAGTGAGTAAACTAATACACAGCTTATTTTACTCAAAATAGTAGGGAATACAATATGTTGGAAATTTTTATTTTCTAATTTTAGAAACTTTTGTCAAGGTTTTAAATAGGGGCAAATCCAGCTTTTTATGGTCTTGAAACTTAGGCAGTTTGGGAGCCACCCCACCTTAAAACAAGGTTTTGCTGTGTAGCTCAGATTTAGCCTTTAATTCACTATGTAACCCCAAATGGCCTCAAACTCACAGTGATCTTCCTGCCTTGGCCTCCTAAATGCTGGGATTACAGCCATGCCCCAACAAGCCCAGGTAGGAGCTCATCTCTAATAAAACAATTCAAAACTTTAATACAAAATTAGATACACAGTCTTGGAACAAAGCCTATGCAAGTGAGGCTCCCTAAAATGTATGCTTCATAAGAATCTGCACAGTAAATTTCCACCTTTGGTGTCATTTTTATGTATAGTGAGCATCTGGCATTTCCTGGATTAGGTATTTTCCCATTTATGTTGACAGCGCCTCACATTCTCTTCAAGAATTCATTTTCTTTATTTACTTTCTGCCCAGAGGACTCTGTCACTGGCTGTATGACTAGGCTTGGCCAATAAGAACACTGGATTGCAGTGGCCACATTGATTGGTTAAGAGTAGAGATGAAATCTAAGTTGAACTAATGAGGTTTAGCCTTGAGTCTTTTTCTGGAGGTAGTAGTTTGAAGCATGGAATTACAATTACTCAATTATTTTTAACCAACATAAATGTCAATTTTATGTCTTTAAACCTAATATTTAGGGTTTTTTTTTTCTTTCTGTAGGCTGGTAGGCTTGCAACATGAAAGCTTGGAGTTTCTGGTGGCTGCCTTGTCTATTTGGCCCCAGACTTTCTGAGACCTATCTCAGAGGATAAGAATTAGAGGATAGACAGAGAAAAATTGATTCTTAGTAACATTATTTGAGTATGTTTATCCAGCTCTTCCTTAATTCAAACTACATCTACAATTTCAGTTAGGTGAACCAAAAATTTCCTCTTTAAATCAAGGCATTTTGATTTAAGACACTACATGACACCAAAAGAATCCTGATTAATATAAAATATAAAAATCATTATTCCTGCTGTCTAATAGAGGGTTTACCATGAGCACGGTACTGTGTTAAAGACAAAAAAACATTGTAAAGGGGGGAGGGAGGAGGAGTGGAGGGAGGACAGAGAAGGGCAAGTGTCATCTTGCTTTAGAGACGAGACATAGAAACATAAAAACAATAAAGAACAATCAAATGTATAATAGCATTACTAGAAGGTAGAATCTAGACAGGTGGAGAAATGTGGGAGAGCTTTTCAAAGGTTGACTAACTGCAGGAACAAAGTCACAAGAGTGGATGGGGTAAAGAGTCTAGCCTGAATTGAAGGTAAGGCAGACACATCAAAGTGTTGTGGGTGAGATCAAGGCAGAAGAATAAATGGTTTGATTTCTTTGGCTTAGAAAAGAGAAAAAGACATTATCAGAGCATCAAAAAGCCTAACAATTTTCTCTGGATGAGAAAATGTGCATGATTTCAGGCCACATTGGAAAATACGTGTACCCAAAAGACTAATCTAACATCAACCATGGCCCATCCATGGTCTTTCAATAGTGTTGCTGAAGTGTACTGGAAGACTGAACTCCAGCGTTTTGAGGAAAGAATGAGGCAATCTAAAGATGGATGGGAGTTAACGGTAGCTAAGAATGGCATGGTTTGTATTATGTACTGCTTTAGAACAAAACAAAGGGGATTGATCATGACACTGGAAAAAATTTGCAAAAGAGTACAGTTGTCATTTCTTGATTAAGTGAATTAATAAGAGGTAAGTGATGTTTTAGGAAAATTAATTTGGCA